AACGTGTGTAATAAAAAAAGATGAGACGCGCCTTTCATATTTTTTAAATGAGCTGATATGATGAAGATGTAATGTGAGACGTGTTAAATAAATCCGGAACTTGAAAGATGGGAATCTCGGCTAATGGAAAGTGATTTTTTTTCTTTAACATGTTTGGCCAAGAATCATCTGTCTGTCCCTAAGAACAGATTGAGATTGGGCAATTTTGTATTCGCAGAAAATGGTAGTAAGTAATCGTAGTCCTAGGTAATTATTCAATGCAGCCAGACGTTTCGAATAAGATCACTCTTCTCAATGATAGAAATGAATATAATACTTTGAAAACAGTAATTTGTCCAAAACGTCTAATATATATGCATCTGTCCACATTGTTTGCACTGGTATGATGGCAGACGACTGAGGGCATCTGCATTAGAACCTATTATTATATTTATCGGTCCTAGCGGTTTCATCAAGTTTGTATTGGTAATCGTTTCGAACAATAATCAATTAAAATGAACCTGCTTGTCATATAATAGTGGGTGGCGCTCTATTTCCTTTCTTTTTTGTCAAATGTACAGCAGTATTATTGCTTTTATCAATAATATACTAGTATGACTTTTTCATCCAAGAAGAAACATTTCGAGATATGATGAAATAATATAGAAACCAATACAAAAATGCATATTTTGATAATTTGCTATTGGGTTTCGAATAGTATGATAAACGTGGTAGGTTTTGTGTACCGCCGATACCCCAGTTCATGTCATTCATGATATCCGTGGTCACGTTACCAGCTCAATCACTTTGAGGATGATTTGTCGATCTGCACTGAATTAGCGCACCACGCATATTTTGGTTTTTAACGTGAATTGTTATATTTCTGCTATCATAATGCGCGAATCTAAATAAATAAACTGGGCACCACATTGTCTGGTTGTACGTATATAGTAAATACAGTATACTTTTTTTGAACATGTATCGCCAACACGTGCCGATTACGGCAAAAAATACATGTACGACGTTGCGACATGCATTGCGCCTTCCTCTGGTCAACATGACACTGGTAGTAAGTGCGCCATATTACTAGTACTGTGGCACCGACAGAGAGAAGTTACATTTTTGACCTGTTCAAGAAAATGCTTATTCGAAAGATGCATTCATACCTCTCAGCATGGAAGCCATGTTATCTATAACGTTCAACATAATATGTGTTAATAAAATTACCCGTCATTCACCGTTTCTTGGATTATTTTTAAAAAATTCTACAAAATAAGGTGAATGTGCACGGTCGCTCAATTCTATTGAACTGGCCTCAAAATAGCTTGTCTTTTTCATAGTATTTATCCAATTTGTAACATGCAAGAGAATGGTGTTTATCCTTTGACAATGCCAAAAAGAACAGTTATAAAAGTTGTTTGCAAATTGTCATGCTATGAAAACATTTCACTTGTACATAGCTTACAGTGACGTGATAAACATTGATTTCCTCTGTGTTCAGAATACAAAATTTCAACATGCGTGATACAACGACCACGGCGTCCAAAAAAGATTTATAGTAATTGTACGCATGTATATTGTTCCAAAAAATACATTTCTATTAAATTTATCTAGCTATGAAATCAATTTCTTTATGCCTCCGTTCTTCATTTTTTTTTTTAATCATAATTGTACATATAAAAATAAAAACAAGAACATTTCGTGCCGCTACTGTTTTAATGTGACGTCACAAGCTGTGTACGATGATTTGGTTAACATTATTTCCATTATCATACTGCAATACCAACAGGACTTGTCTTGTGCGGCCATTTACCGGCTTTCCTTGAAAACATCAGAACCTAATTCTAATATAACTGATGAACAAGATTTAAGCAAATAAACTAAATTTTCCCTAATTTGTCCTAGAGTATTTGTCGTTCAACCGTGACTTCCTACAGCCTGCCGACTTCAAATTCCCATTTTTAGAGACACATTTTATAATGTGCCGTGTTTTTCTACTTCCCATAAAACTGCCTCTTCTTCCAAAGCAACTTCATAAATACACAGACTTCTTAGTAGCAAACTCTGTGGACGACTATTCTGTATATTCACCACGATTTCTCTATCTTTTGGAAAATACTGTTCAGATTTCCAACGCATAGACGAGAAAACCGCTCCCAGGAAATGTTATTTGGAACATCGGGAAAATGTTTGAAATTTCCTAGTACAGCAAGTTATATCGGAAGTCGAAAACATTATCTACTTGAAGTTATCTGGAAATTTTCTGGAGAAAAAAACGGGGCAGTCAACTGCATAATCCCGAGAGTTCTGAATGTGTCATTCCAAGCAACATTTCTGACATTCCAATTTAAATCTCTTACTTTGCAAAGATTTTTCTTCAAACTTGGAAGACGATCTAGTCTTTATAAGCTACTTATTTCACCGAACTTTGCAGAAGACGATCCAGTATTCATAAGCTACTTTTTTCTAATCACTTTCAATTGCGTTCGTGTCGAAACAATTTAGAAATCCCAGGCAACTATCTTACGCGTCATCCAAACTATCTTTCTTCACTTTGTGGACGTCGTTCCCGACAACTTTCACGTAATCACATATAATATTTTTATCACAACACTTCCAAGTTTCGAATTTGTAAATACAAATATTTTCTTTGTCAAAACTATTTTTCAAACATTCTCGATTTGCCAAGCAACATTCCGTCTATGCAAAGAACACTTTGAACTTTTCAACAAATTATCATATTCATGTATCTGCAAACTAAATTTAGGACTTTCTAGACAAATGCCGACGTTCAATACAACTTTCTTGAAGATTTCCAAGCCCCTCTCATGGAATCTCTTCGACGTTCATGATACCACCGTATCTACCCTTCAATTCTATTCTTTCAGAACAAATTTGAGAGCGTTGAAGTTTCTGATTTTGTAGACGATTTTTCGTTCTTGCAATAATGAAATCAACTTTCGTCGTTTTAAAATATAACATTCTAGCAAACGACTGATTGAAGTACGTTTTTCCCTTTGAGCCCAAAAAACAAAGAGATGCCAGAGTTATAAGCCACCACAAGAGGGCGGGGTAAATGATGTTCAAACCATGCGCACGCTTTTCCGTTCAACTTGAGATGCTAGAAAAAGCTTCTAGATGAAGTAAATAACTCGTCAGCCTTTCAAAAATACTTTCCTTGCTTCCAAGAAAAATGTTCTAACTTTGTTCACGTTCAAAACTTGTGCCTTTTAACAGGACTGATTTTGTAGGAATACTGATTCAAACTAGAATCCCTAAAAGACAAGTTGAGTTGCTTATTGACTACTATGTATGTGGCTATATGGGTAACGTGAGACACAAACAAATATGTTGTTACCCTGATTTGTGATGTGAATTTTGTCAAATTACAAAAGTCCATTTAAGATGTTTTTCAAGATCACTATATCAATATATGATTTTCTGTTGCAACAATGATGTACTAGTGTATTAACACAACTATTTTGTGTTGCAGAAAATCTTTGTGAGTCAATTGTGCATATCCCATTGTAAATTCCATGCCATTCTTCTGCCTTACCAATCATTTCTACTCACCCAACCTTCTTTTTCAAGACATGTTTTTTGCAAGACAGGAATCGAGCCTTTCAAATAAACTTGTCAACAAACCCAAGAAACTAATTGTAACTAGACAAAAAATTGTTCTTCCCAGCCACACAGCTATATCTCTTTCCTGTATATATGTGGAAGGCTGGAATTTTGACTGGAAATGTAAACAAGATCTAGAAGGCTGAAATATTGAGAGAGAAATGTGGTCTGTCACTCATATTTCACTTACCAAAACAATTCAGTAAGAATTTTTAAAACAGTAATTTTCTATAGATGTACATTTTATTTGTGAACATTTCATAAAATTTCAATCTTTGCAACATCCCTATGGTGTCATGGTGTCATGCAATGATGACAACTAACATGTAAATTCTTCTATCCGTATGGTGTCATGCAATGATGACAATTAACATGTAAATTCTTCTATCCGTATGGTGTCATGCAATGATGACAACTAACATGTAAATTCTTCTATCCGTATGGTGTCATGCAATGATGACAACTAACATGTAAATTCTTCTATCCGTATGGTGTCATGCAATGACGACAACTAACATGTAAATTCTTCCATCCGTATGGTGTCATGCAATGATGACAATTAACATGTAAATTCTTCCATCCGTATGGTGATAATTAACATGTAAATTCTTCCATCCGTATGGTGTCATGCAATGATGACAATTAACATGTAAATTCTTCCATCCGTATGGTGTCATGCAATGATGATAATTAACATGTAAATTCTTCCATCCGTATGGTGTCATGCAATGATGACAATTAACATGTAAATTCTTCCATCCGTATGGTGTCATGCAATGATGACAATTAACATGTAAATTCTTCCATCCGTATGGTGTCATGCAATGATGACAATTAACCTGTAAATTCTTCCATCCGTATGGTGTCATGCAATGATGACAATTAACATGTAAATTCTTCCATCCGTATGGTGTCATGCAATGATGACAATTAACATGTAAATTCTTCCATCCGTATGGTGTCATGCAATGATGACAACTAACATGTAAATTCTTCCATCCGTATGGTGTCATGCAATGATGACAATTAACATGTAAATTCTTCCATCCGTATGGTGTCATGCAATGACGACAACTAACATGTAAATTCTTCCATCCGTATGGTGTCATGCAATGATGACAATTAACATGTAAATTCTTCCATTCGTATGGCGTCATACAATAATGACAATTAACATGTAAATTCTTCATCCGTATGGTGTCATGCAATGATGACAATTAACATGTAAATTCTTCATAATTTACTTTGGATGCAACATTGTGTATAATTTTATGCATATTTTATCATTTCTTCATTAATTTTGGAACCAATTAACTATAGTTGGGGAAAAAAATGTGCAGGTTTATTTTGTTTGACTAAAATTGACTTTTGGAAAAGCTTAACTATATTTTATTGGCTGTGTTTTGACATTGAAATTATACCAAAATGACCCCGCCCCACACATTTGTCTTCAAGTGCTTTATGACTTAGATATTTTCCATATACCACTGATAAGTGTTGATGAACGCATCAGCTTCTGCATCCACTTTTGCTATTGGGTGATTGTTATCTGGGTAAAGCAGTAACCTAATACAAGAAAAAATGGAGAACATTCTAAACAACTGTGATAGTACTTTACAGCATACTGCTTGAAAAAGATAGAAAGTTGCCTTGAACAATGGCAGCAAGAATGGAGATGATTTCTAGCTTGCAAAACAAGCAAGCAAAAACCCCTCTCCCCACACACACATGCAGGTGTAACTGTAGTTGTAACGCCACACATTGGATTAACTTTTAATATAGTTGCGATATGAACTTGATTAAAATGCAGTTTAGTTAAACTCAATTACAATGCAATACAACATAGAATTGCATTTTAATTAAG